GATTAAATTAAAAAAATAAATATAGAGCCTCGGTTTAACGGAAGCCTCAGAATAGCACCGTATCCAAAAGACCAAAGGGACCAGAATCAACCACAACAAAGTAAATTGAAAAATATACAATCACAAACACGAAGGGATTGGAACGGTTCTCTACATGCCTGACGGGCCTGTTAAAAATGCGATGAAAACGGTTTGAAATCTACAATTAAACTACCCTGTATCTTCAATGAGGTGACGCCCGAACATCACTCGTAAGATTTTCGTCAAAGTATTAACACTTTTGATTACTTACATTATCTGCTCTATGGCCTCCGCTTTAAGTTTAATACATGTGGCTAGCTCTCTGACCTATTTGTTTCATTTCTCTGGCTCCCTGCCAGTGGATTTACCGTCTAATCCTGTGAGGATTTCACGATAATTCTCTCCATGAGAAAGCAGTGGACAGTTCTATCCTCCCCTCTGACCTAGAACTAGGGGAGCTGCAAAGCACTACCTGATTGGTCTGCTAAGCCTCGCTGCATAGTAGTGTAGTACTATCTGTTGAAGGGTATTCATGGGAACCTTAACACATGCGAAGCACAAATGCAGAACTATGTTATGTGATACCAGGATATGCTTATTCCCCCTTTTTATTTGTTTATTATTTACGGAAAAATCAGTTCTAGTCGCTTTATGCCATTTAAGGGGAGACAAAATCTGCATTTAATGTCCAGACATAAGCAAGATACCACCTCACGATTTGTTCTACGAATCAAGAACTAAACCAAAAACTCGATCGAGAGGATTATTGAGCCAATAAATTTACGATAGTTGAGTTTTAAAAAATTGAGTTTATAATTGTTACTTTTTGGATTACATAAAATTGTTTCCAGTAGTGTAGACAAACAATTTTCATGGTCGCTTCTTACAATGGTAATATTTATTTATCCTCTCATATATTATTTCGGTAATCTTTGTAAATGAGATCTCTTAAGAAATAGAATTTTACGGAGACTTCACGAATTACAAAATTTAAATATATGAAGGATTTGTTGAAAACAAAACACATGTAATGCCGGTCTGGAGGCCGAGGTCGTTCAGACCGTAGTACATTAGCGATCTCGGACCGACGAATTGCGGGCTCGAGTCCCGCCTCGAGCATGTTTGTATTTGTATTCGTCCTTTCACTCACTATCATCACCATATCGTGCCATTTTCACAGTTACCATACCGTTAAATTCAATATTGGTCGCTAATGACCTAGATATTGATGGGACCTTAAATTTAAAAAAAAGCATGTAAATATGAGTGTCAAATACAACCCGCAACACTCGATAGCATTGTTAAAATCTATAGTTATATAACTAAAATGAATATTCTTTCGTGCAGGCCTTAAAAAACGTCCCTCCCACCGTTATCTGCGGGATGAGAACTTCTTAAACGTTCTGCTACATTTTTGGTGGTTCGGTGTTTCTCAGTACTGCTCCTATTCGGAGACAGGGAGAATCGACAACTGCATGTGAAATTAAATTACTTGACATTTTATGCGATTGAATTGCACCTCTGTGTTCGGAAATAAAGATACATAATAT